GATAAAATCTTGGGTTAAGTGAGAGTCACTGTAAATTGAACAATGAAACTAAACACAAAACAAGTTCAGAGAATAGGGAAAAGCATGGGCCAAGAAAAAGCATGGCTACACCTTTGAAGCCAATATATAAGAAACAGAAGTTCAATAATTCAGTCTATTAGCTTACTAGTCACCTAGTTATAGAAAGTATTAAAATATTCAATTTAGAGAAAAGAGAGGATGGTTCATTTTGAACTAGGAAGTACATTTGGGGGCATTAAAGAAGAGCCATCTAATAGACTGACATAAATGTATAGCTCAGAAGAGAGGCACATAGAGTTGTCCCTCAGTATTTTTGGGGGGGTTGGTTTCTCAAACCTCTTTATATACAAAAATCTATGAATGCTCAAGACTTTTAAATAAATTGGCATAGTATTTGCATGTAACCTATACACACCACTCTATATACTTTGTCATCTATAGATAACTGAGAATACATAATACAGTCTAATAGTTAATAGTATTTATATTATATTGTTTATAATATATTGACAAGAAAAAGCTATTTCTGATACAGATGTAAACTTCTTAGTCCTAAGCACATTTTTGTCTGTGGTTGATTGAGTGGATCTACAAATATGCAGCCCAGAGATATGGACTGCCAACTATGTTTGTCAGTGGAATGACAAACTCTCAGTTTGTTATTGCTGACTGCTAATTTTTTTCATTAAGTTTATTGGTACATTTTAGGTATATAATAAGTTACATTTATCATTGGGATCTTGTACCTTTACATGATCCATCTTGGTTCTCATTTTTTCCCCCTTCCCCTGCCCTCCCTTCACCCCCTCCACCCTTTCCTATTTACAAAGACTTTGTTTCTGTTTTTTCCTTTGATGACTGCTATTTTCTATGTGAAAATATGTATCTGGAAACAATCGGTTCTGCTGAAATTAAAAGAAGTGGTGGTGCAGGAGCATGAAGAGAGAGTCAAAGGTTGGAAACCATGAAGTGTTGCTCACCATTCCAAAAAGCCAATGACTTGAGGACAAGTTGTTTGGACAAGGAAAAAGATTTATCAGGAAAGTTAGCAAACCAAAGAAGAAAGTCAACAAAGGCCATCTTAATTAGGGGTATAGGCAAGGCTTACACAGAATGCTGGAAGGGCATCCCATAAGAGGTATCAGGATAGTTACAAATTCCTGGGTAGTTACAAAATTTCAGGTGATTTGATTTTGTTTGTTTGTTTATTTTTTGAGATAGGGTCTCACTATGTAGTCCAAGTTGACCTTGAACTCACTATGTGATTCAGGTTGTCCTCAAACTTGCTGCAATCCTCCTGCCTCACTATCCTGAATGCTGGGTTTACAGATGTGTGCCATCTTGGCTGGCTCAGGTGATTCTGATCTTCTGAACCAAGGGCTGCTCTCTGTGGGTCATAGAGTGATCTGAGTTCTATAAATCTAAAGAAAAGTTACTGACTAAAAAGTCTTATTATCCATGTCTTTTTAGTTGCAGGAATGGCTTATTCTGCAGTTAATTCTTAGTATACAAAAGGCATCTTTCTCCCAGAGAACAGAAAATAGCAAAAGCCTGCTTTTTAATGGAGAACCAGGGAAGATAAGAAGGATGGGAGAGATAACATTTTCTGGAGTACAGTTTTTAACCCAATAGGTGGCTTTGGTCAGAAATGTCATCTACAGTGAAGCTAGTGGGACATAAATAATATATTGTTGAGCTGTGTGATGTCCAAAATTAGTGATTTTTTTTTTTGTCAACTAAGATCAAGTGAAGCTAGAGAGTTTATTTAGGTTTTTTCTTCAGTTATAGGTTTATCATAGCTGTTCTAAGTTTAGTCAAGCTGGGAAAACAGTTTTGAAGAGAGTTTAAGGACAGAACTGCTGCTGCAGACCATAGCTCTCTAATGTAATTAATCCACATTCTTGTATGACTTGTTTTCCAGGGGTCATCTGTCCAGGTAAAAGGGTAGAAAAAATGTAAGGTTGAATTGAAGCAAGGCTATACTATTATCTGATAAAATGCTAGAGAATAAAAATTTGGAAGTCCTCTTCAGTGAAATATTGAAGTTATGCATGATGAAGTCTTGACTTTATTTCACATCAAGAAGTGAAGTGGGTAAGAAGCCAAAACTGTAAGGAAAAGATGGGGTGATAAGACAATCAGTGTCAATAAGGTCAAGGAATAGGTGTAATGTAAGAACAATAAAGAAAAAGAACGATATGAGGTGGAGAGAGGCAAGCTTATAGGTGTTTAAGACTTAGGAGCAACTTGGAAAGGGCAATGTGCAAAAGTGGTCTTGGGTGACTGGAGTTTGGATGAGTAAAAGTAAAAATCACTGGCAAGGACTTAATGTGGTTCATCTACATGCTCACAAAAAGTATAGGTGAATGGGGCAAAAAACGAGGACTTAGCTGAGTACCCAAATTCTTAATGACCACAGACAAGCGCTTATGTAAGCCCTTGAGGGTCTTGAAGATGAAGTCCGGTCTAAGCCAGTCAAGATAGCAGCAACAGTTCCAAGAAGAGCTCTCACACTTTCATCAGAGAAGTAAAAGGAGAGAACAAAAATGGCATGCCTTAACTGTGATACCACTGATTTGTTGTACTGATATATTTTATAACAGAAAACTGAAAATTTTGAATAAAATGGAAATTAAGTAATATTTTCCTATTTTATATCTTTGTCCTATCTTAGTACCTTAGTACCACAGATATTTAAGAAATTAGCTCTATATCTGATCTATTCAGACAGTTTTTGGTATGAAACATTGACTGCAGAGATTCTCAATATGGAAAATTTATAAATTAAAATTAATGAAATATAGAGGATTACATTCCTATTTTAATCTAACCACACAGTAATTTTCTTCTCTACAAATTATATGTATGTTATAACTACACATAGATGTTTGATTTAGCATTTCATATGATTAAGAGTATATGTACTTTTAATTTTTATTCAAAGAAATTGTAAACCAGTTCCTTCCAGGTCAGACTGGTAAAGAGCAGGCTAACACAATATGCTTTTTTCCTAGTATTTCCTTTATGCTAGCAAGGCTTTGGTCTGCAAAGTTTCTACTTTTCTTTCTTGCTTCAAGTAAGTATTGAAAAATGAGGAAAAAAATGTATTACTTACCCATTAAATTACAATCAATTTAACAATTTGGAAACATTATTAGCATGTTCTAAAAGCCATTTTTCAAAGTGACAGAAATGTGTGCAATATTGTACATGCTGTGAAAAATGCTGATTTATTTTCCATGTTCTCTGTTTACCTCAATTTGTTTCTGATTCACTAAACAAACATTCCTTTTTATTCTTGTACATAATTCTTGGATCTCCTTTTTATTTCATACAATAAAACTTTCAGGTCACTGAGAATAGGTTCTTAAACTCAGAAAAATATATTTTTCTGAGATTTAAAAATACAATGAAAGAAAGGGAAATGCCATCTGAAGGCCAGGGCAGAAAAGTACGAATAAATATTATAGAAATTTAAACCTGTATAACTCATCATTAACAAGTGCTTTATGTAACAAGCTAAAAATAACTGACACTTTCGTCACCTTCAATCAGAAAACATAAAATATATGAGATATTGAAATCACAAATCAGCCAGAGGGAAAGGACACTCAAACAGAGCAGTTGGGCCCAGTCACTGTGGGCAGTTTCTGTGCATTGCTTAAGTATGTTCTGAGTGCCCATAATGTGGGGGAATCAAAAATAATATGGACAGCACAATTTTGCCTTCTAATGCTTCCATCCACACAATACACAGTATGTGTACCTTACTTCTGATAGTTGGTGCTTATTTCTTTTATTCTCAAGACTACAAGTTTCTGAATCAGAACTCTCCTGGAGTATTAAATGAGTTCCTATGTCCAATTTTGTTTTATGTCTGTAAATTTCAGTCTTCCTATTTATATATTTTAGTTGCTTTCATGCTTTCAGTTGTTAGCTACTAACAAGTCCTCAGAAACCTCATCCACCCATGAGCAGGTAATTGCAGATGTGGCCCATTGATAGTTTTGACAACGGGTTAGCCAAAGTTTATTTCACGGCAACTGTTAGAAGCTCATTGTGAAAACAACAAACTCCTGTAATCCATTCTTTTCATTTTAATTCCAATTTGGCTATCAGGTGACCTTCCCTGCTGATTTCTCTCAGCTCCAGTCTCTCTTCAATCCTGCCTTCATCACTGTCCTATTACTCCTTGGAAAGGATATGTCTCCTCAAGTAGTCTTTCTGCTCTAAATTTCCCTAAGGCTCATGATAACCAAAGAGGGGAAAATATTTTATTTTATTTTATTTTTATTTTCTTTCTTTCTTTATGCTCTTTTTAATTGATCCATATTTATGAGGTCAATGTGATGTACCAATTCATGTATACATTGTGTAATAATCAAACTATTTAGTATTTCTATAACCTCATACATTTATCATTTCTTTGTGGTAAGAACATTTAAAGTCCACTCTTCTAGCAATTTTGAAATACTCAATACAGTATTGACAATCCTAGGCATTCTATCATGCAGTAGGATGCCAGAGATATTTCCTCCAATCTAGCTGTAACTTCTTATTACCCAGGCTCCCCACAATAATCTCCAAATATGTCATACATGATTCCTAGTCCAGCCAAGCTTTCATACATTTGTCCACACTTCTCCCCTCTGTTACTTTGTCTTCCCTGTTCTCTCTTCTTGGAACACTTACTTTACATGCCCAATCACCAAGGTCCACTCATCCTTCAACATCATCTTCTCGTGTTATCACTTCCACAAAGATCTTCCTCATCTCAGATTGCAATATCCTCTCCCAATCCTATATCATTTTACCCAAACCTCTGCCATAACAACTATTATCTTTACTTAATGTGTATGTATAGTCTTTTTCTTTATAGATTGTAAAGTCACGAGGGCAAAATTCATGTTTGATTTATCTGTGCATTTCAAAACGTTTTACACATATTTAATGCTTTATAAATTTGGGTTTTTTTCATTTTAGCAATTTTAATTAAAGTTATATAAGAGGACTTTATTCCTGCATCTTCTCAATTGTTTCTTCCTTATATTTGCCCTTTTCCTTTCTTACTTGGCGAGATTTGGCTTTCCATTCCAGGATCTTTTTGCGGTCTTTGTCCGGTTTTAGCCTGGTGATAACCGCCTTGCTGCGGTGAATGCCCACATGGACAGTTGTGCCATTTGCCTTTTCCCGTTGCACCCGTTCAGTGTAGATGACATATTTCTTCCTGTAAACCTGGACTACTTTGCCAATCTGCTGACCTTTATAGTGTCCTCGCACAACCTGAACCTCATCATCCTTTCGGACGGGCATAGATCGAACATTGTATTTCTGTCTCAGCTCTTTGGAAAGAGGGGAAAATACAATCTTCCTGTGAATGTGGGAAGGTGCACTGAACTGTCTTTTACAGTTCTTGCTGTTGTTCGAAGTCACAAAAGGATTGAACTTCATTTTGGTTCGCCACCGCCGAATCCTTACCCGCTGCCTGCTTCATAAATTTGTTGAATGAAGGATGAATGCATGATAGAAAATTTTCACTCCAGTAAACTTCAAGTCATCCCTTGGTTGTTATTCACTTCTTTATTGTTTCTAACATCATCCATAAGCACAGAGCTCTTGATCTCCTTTCCTCCAACTCCAGAAGCATCTTCCAACTATTTTCTGGATAAAACATAGAGACTTAGAGACTATAAATAATGGTTTTATAACTGAAATTGATGCAAGAGTATGTGAGTATGCATGTGTTTTGGGCTGTGAAGGAAGATAGGTAGAGGGTGTGAGCATCCATGGGGAAACTTTCCAGAGATTGGGATTTCAAAAGTCTAGAACCAGTACTTTAAGAACACTTCAAGTTCTGGATGAAGGGCAGACATATCTTTTCAGGGAATGCAAATTCTTTGTGATTCTGCTCCCAACATATATCTGAATGAGTGATAGGACTTGGAAAAATCTGGAAACTAGTATTTCCCCTGACAGGAAATCAAATAAAAATCACAATATGACATAATATGACACATAATATGATGCACATCGTAGTGGATAGTCACATAGTAATAACTCTAAGTGGCTTACCACAACACTCATTCATTTATATTTCTTATCGGTAGTGCCTTACTTAATGTATTAGTCAGTGTTATCCAGAGAAATAGAAGCATTAATATGTACACATCTATAGAAAGAGAGATTTATGGAAAGCAATTAATTGGCTCACTCTGATATACAGGCTGAAAAATCTCAAGATCTGAAATTGGCCAGTTGGATGCCAGGTGAACCCATGGTATGATTTCTGTGTGAGTCTAAAGGATTAGAATCAAGACAATCAATGGTCTAAGTTGCAGTCCAAATATTGGCAGGATCAGAAAAAAAGAGGAGCCATGTTTAAGTTTGAGACCAGAGCAATAAAAGACTATCCCAGCACAAAATAGAGGCGGAAGAAATAAATTCTCCTTTACTTTTGTTCCATTCAGAATTTCAATTAATTGGGTGAGATTCACCTGAATCAGAGAAAGTAATCTTTTTTGCTCAGTCTATTGATTCTGATGTTCTTATTTTTCAGAAACACGGTACAGACACAGCCGGAATAATGATGGCCCTAATGTCTAGCCGCTCAATGGCTCAGACAAGTTGACCCACAAAATACTTACCACATACTTAAGAAGAATCCAAGTTATCTTGTTTAGTGTGAGAAAGTTTCATTTAAGGATCATATGAAAAATTACATTCTTACCAATTGATTTGTTTTAAATACCCCTGGAAACATTATTATATTTAAAATTATGTGATAAACAGCCTGTTAAATAAAAACTTATTCTTACCTCACAACCACTTAACTATGAAAAAGATACAAATTTTGGAGCCTTATAGATTTGTGGTTACAATCCTAACTCTGCTGAGCCTTAATAGCTATGTATCATATGTGCGATTTTATTTAATATATGTGAGCCCAAGTATATTGTAAAATTGAGATAATAAAAAACCTCCATATGTCTGAGGGTTAGGGTTAAATGAGAGAACATACATGCTCCTTGTACTTAGGAGATACACAATAAATGTAAATTTCTTCTCTCCCTACTCTTCTCATCCCATATTTCATAGTAGTTATTATAAGGCTACATCTTAAAATTTGGAACATCAATATGCCTTAGCTTAGATTTTGAGTAGAAGCTGGAAACACAATGGTCTTGCATCAAAGTAAATCAGTCATAATATTTAAATAGCATGATTTTTTTTCAGGTGTGGTTAGTGTGTGCTGTAATCTCAGTATTTGGGAGGCTGAGGCAGGAGGATTGCCATGAGTTTGAGGCCAGACTGGGCTACATAGTGAACTGAAGGGCAGCCTTAACTAATTAATGAAATGTTGTCTCAAAAAATAGCACTATTTTTAAATGAAATAACTTCAAATTAACTTTGTAAAATTGTACAATGCAACAAAAATGTGGTCTATCCTAGTCTGTTTTGTTCTGCTACAAGAAAACACGTAAGACTGAATTATTTATAAAGGGATATATTTCTTACAGTTCTGCATTAGAAGATAGACGAGGGTTTTCTTACATTGGAAGATAGAAGAGCAAAAGAGTCTATATTCATGCATTTGTATGCACTTGAGAGACAGAGAAAGAGAAAGAATGGCAAAGAAATAAAGATAGAGATGAGAGGGGGGAGGAGTGGGGAAGGGAGGAGTGGAGAGAAGTGGGTGGAAGGTATCTAAATTCTTTTTATGAGGAACACACTCTGATAACTGACCCACTCCCACAATAACCAAATCAATCCATTTGTGAAGTCCGAGCCCTCAAAACCTCTTCAACCTTCTACAGTTTCTGTCTCTTAAGATTATTGGATTTGGGATTAAATTTCCAACACATGAACTTGTGGGATCACATTTAAACCATAGCAAGGTCTAAATGAAACTGTCATCTATTAATTCAAAGTCTCTCATGCAAGGCATTCTTTTTAGCTAGCACTGACAGATTCCATGGGTATTATTGGCTAATGCATGTCCACTGATTGATTTTACCTCATAGATGAGACTGTCTTAATACCAAATCATTTTACCATTTTTATCTAAAAAGGATTCTATGCTCATTACATTATATTCACTGAATAGTAAATAGCATTTAGTAAGGTGCTAGAATTATACTTATATGTACTCTGTTTAAAGCAAACTCAATATGAAAGAATTTTTACTTCTCAGATAGATAATTGGGAAAGTTGTCAAACCGACAAGTACCACACATCCATGATGTAACAAGCAGCAATGAGAGCATTCATATGTTGAAGCTCATGTTCTTCCTGTGACATCACATTACCTCAGGGAATATTCTAGTCCATCTGATCTAGCTGGATAGATTATATCTGGTAACCTCCTTTGGTAGTAGCAGGAAAATGTGTTCCAAGCAGAACATTTGGAATCTGATGGGCGGAGAGGAGGCAGAGAGATCTTAGTGGAAGAAGCATGCAATTCTCCTCTGGGGTCCATCTGAGACCTAGTAAAGGGATAGACAGAGAAGGGGTTTTAACTTGGGTTGTATGAAGCACTAAGTTCCAAAAAACACTCTGCGAGAAAAGGAATTCTCTAGAGTTTGAAAACGAGTCATACCAAGTCTCCTTCCTGAATGCAATTAGTACATTGAAGGCTCTGAGGAGCACTAGAGGGAAAAATACCCTGTTGTCCTTAAACTCAATATTCCTTAAATTGAATGTATTAGTCAGCTTTCACGTTGCTGGACAAAATGCCTGACACCCACAACTTAAAGGAGGAGAGGTTGTTCTGTTTGGGGTTTCAGAGAATCCAATCCAAATTCATCTGGCATCAAGGTGGGAACATAATAGCAGAAAAGCAGAGCAGAGCGAAGGGGCTTAGTTCATGGCAGCCAGGAAACAGAGTGGGTTGGTAAGAGTGCCAGAGAAGCAGAGCTCAGGGACTAACTATACACCCAAGGGCACGTTTCCATGACCAGCCCATGCACCCCAAAGTATGATACACCAATCCTTTAGATAGCTCTCAAGCTAATCAAGTTGACAGGCCTAACAGTCTCACTGCTTGCTCTTAAAAACCTTTCTGTAAGTAATTCATATTTTCTTCAGACAAAATAGACCATTGTACAATAAAACCTCTCACAGAAAGAAAGCTTGGTACATTCTGTGTCTGAAACTCACACATACAAAGTGTTTATAATATCTCCCTTTTGGTGAGTTGAATTGAAACTATTAAAACATTCCAATAATTTAAGATATGTTTTTGTGGGATGTCCATCACTAAAAGTGAACACAAAGTTAAATAAATGGTTATTAATCTACTTAAAGTAAAACCTTGAAAAAAATCTGTTTTTCAGTGTTGGAATAAGAGCTTTCCTCTGGTTACTAATGTAGATGTGGAAATTGTGGGGTTTTTTTTTTAGAAGAGATCAATGCGAGCATTATCGTTAACATTTATTTCACTTCATTATTGGAAATCATTTTGTCAAAGAGAGGAATTGTTTAAAACAAAAGATCTCTGGTCACCGAATATGCTAAGTGTGCTGCTATGCTTGTCTCCTCTTTTTGGTGTGGCATTTATCGGTAAGTACTTTTAGAAAGTGGGATTAAATACTGTGGTTCATACATGATTCATATTAACAGTTTCTTAAAAAAATGCTTTGTGATTGATTTTTACCTTGTAATGCACAAATCACATAGTCCCATTTGAAGGTGCTTTTCTCTTTTTCTCCTTGGCTACTTGGTGTTTTGATGTGTTTTAGTTGACATCTTTGGTCTGTTGTCCTTGTAATAGAGTTCAAAGTTTTAAAAATTGCCAATGGAAGGACATAGAGGAATATATCTAAAACACTAGATGATATTGCCTTTTATGTGGCTCAGTCATAGAAGGAGAGATGAAAAGAAAAGCAAGCTGCAGAACAGATCCCACAAACAGCAAGCAAAGAAGGGAGCTGCAAGACAGTCACCCTGCACTCCTAGGAATCCAAAGCAGAGCAAGAAAGTGCCTTTGTCATCATCTGGAATGGCAATGCTCAAACTGTTAAAAACCACTGGTCTAGAGCTGAGAATGTAGCTCAGTGGTAGAGAGCTTGCTTAGCATATGTGAGGCCTTAGGTTCAACCCCCAGCATTCATCCTCACCACTGAAAAGTAAATAATTTCATAAATAAATTAATTTAATTGAATTAAAAACCGAAAATATCACTGGTCTAGACATTGTTGGAAGTTTTCAGTCTATACCAAACATCTAAAGATATTTTTATCTTTTTTCATATTATGTCTGGAATTCCACAGACCTCAACTTTATTTTTTGCATTCAAAACTCTGGGCAGTTGTAAGTGATGAAGAGGGCCTTCTAGAGTGGAATAATCTGCTTCACATTCCTGAAAGCTTCCTCCCAATCTGGTGCTCTAACCCATACTACTTTACCATTTGCTGTATAATGGGCCCATAGATAAACACTTATTATGGTAAAAT